TTTTGGTATTGAAAATGGGCTATGTAGGTCCACGTCTCCCATATAACGGTACCCCCGATTTTCGATATTTTGATGATTTTAGCGACATTATTTACCGGAATTGTTTCAAATTTGGTATTTTAAGCTCGTAACAGATACTACAGCACAAAACAGAAAATGGGCCATGTGGGTCCACGTCTTCGTATAGCCCCATTTAACGGTACCACCCGATATTCGATATTTTGATGATTTTAGCGATATTATTTACCGGAATTGTTTTAATTTTGGTATTTGAAGTTCGTAATGGATACCACATCCAAGGACGGAAAATGAGCCATGTAGGTCCACGTCTTCGTATAGCCCCCATACAACGGTAACTCCCAATATTGGGTATTCTGATGATTTTAGAGACATTATTTACCGGAACTATTTCAAATTTTTTATTTGAAGTTCGTTATGAATACTTCAGCCTATGACAAAAAATTGTCGGAGCAGGTCCACGTCTTCGTATAGCTCCCATATAACGGATTTTGATGATTTTAGCGACATTATTTACCGGAATTATTCCAAATTTTGTATTTGAAGTTCGTAATGGATACTACAGCCTATTACAGAAAATTGTCTGTGCAGGTCCACGTTTTATAACCCCCATGGTACCTCCTTATATTCGATATTTTAATGATTTTAGCTACATTATAAACAGATCCTTTTTTCAAGTTTCGCATTTGAATATTGTAATAGCTTGTGACAAAAGTTGCCTATGCAGGTCCACGTCGTCGTATAGACCCTAATATACGACTACATTCGGTATTTTTAAGATTTTAACAGAGTTGTTAACGGATTTTATTTTTTTGAAAATTGTGAAATGGTGGAGGGTATTCAAAGTTCGGCCCGGCCGAACTTACAGCTTTTTTACTTGTTTTTTCATAGGCTGACCTATTACCTATACGAACTTTAAATATGAAGTTTGAGACAATTCAGTTTAATAATGTCGCGAAAATCAACAAAAATCCGAAAAAGGGAGAAACCATTATATGTGGGTTATACGAAGAGGTGATCCTGCATAGACCATTTTCTGGCATAGGCTGTTTACCTATTACGAACTTAAAATACGAAATGTGAAATAATTCCGGTAAATAATATCTCTGAAAACGTCTAAATACCGAATACCGGGCGGTACCGTTACGTGGGGTCTATACGAAAACGTGAAACGACATAACCCATTCAGGAACATAACCTGCCTACCGGCAAAATACACATGTGTTAAAAATTTTAGCCTTTTATCTTGGTTCAAGGTTCAGCAGAGAGACATCGCTTTCTATACCTTCACATACCCTCATAGTATTGTGGAGGGTATAAAAATGTCAATGATATTCCGATATTGAATGAAAAAGATATTCCCTGATTTTATTTATGTGGGGGTCACGTCATATTTTCCAATCCATTTTCCTGAATATTAGTATTAGTATCAAATAATTTAAGTCTCAAGGAATCATCAAACGAGTCGTTTCTGGTCCTTCATACAAAATATGGTTAAAAACTATTCTACAAAATTATTTGCCACAAAATACTACTATTGGGCCACTTCATCTCCCCTCCACCCTAATATATATTCTCGCTCTCGTTGTCAATTTTCGATTCTACGAAATGCCTAATGTTCTGCTGCTGTGACTGACTGCCTCTGCCACAGTCTGTATTATAAAGCATCTTTTGTATTGTAAAGACCTTCTTTATTTCGTTGTAATTGTGAGTTTGACACTTGCTTAAAGTATTTAATTTATGTATTAACAAACGATGACTGTCTATGGACTGAATATGTCCGAACATGTACAGACACACATGTGTATGTTTACATGTATGCCCAAAGGCAGATGTACGTATGTATGTAAGAATGAATATATGTATGTGGGTATGTGTATCCGCAATGTTTGCATTGATTTGAGTGCCTGGTATTTCAACATTAAATTAAGACGAACAGTCTATTGAAAACAACGTTATGTAGTTATGTAACGTCTACAGATTTTTTGCTTTATCATGAAAATTATTGCAAACTAAGGAAAATTTTAACCTTTTTTTTTTTTAGTATTTTTTACAACATACTCCTGAATTACTTAGTACTTACTATCTTATTTTAAGAAACAAATTACTAAACAATTTGGAAGGGTTCAATTAATATTTTCCCAAGTTAAAAACTGTTCATTAACTCAAAATTCTACTTAAAATTAGAAGCGAAAATATGAAGGGAACTGGATAAATATCGACGTAAATATGTACAGGGTGAGATTGAAAAATTGCAACCAATTTCAGACTGTTGTCAATTCTAAGCCACTAGTCCGACAGCTTTTAAAATTATTCCAGTGACATCTCATTATATTGTTTACAAGCGTACAAAAGCTTTTTGGTGAGAAGTTTCCACAAAAAAAGTTATTCGTGATAGAATTCAAGCGCGATACTATGATTTCTTTATATTTGGCTGGAAAACAACAACTGGCTATCGCAAGAGCACTCCAGCATTTAAGTGTGAATAAATCTTTTGTGTTCTTACCATCGCTAATTACCGTAGCTGGTAGCGCAGCCCGACGTCAAGAAAGTGGACGGAAGAAAACAGCAAAATCAGCAGAAAAGGTTCGAAAAGTTCGACACGGGTCGCAGTTGCCGAAAAATGGCTTGTGAGGTGAACATAACGCAATATTCCATTCGGCAAATATTGAAAAATTAGTTCAGGGGAAAAGCCATTATAAGTCCAATAGGTGCAAGAACTTACACCGCTACAGAAAGAAAATAGACTCAAAAGGGCTAACGAGTTGCTTCGCTTGGCCGATAGTGGTGAACTACCGAATTTGGTTCTCTCCGATGAGAAACCATTCGTTGTCCAGCAGTTTGTGAACAAACAAAATGATCGTGTTTACTTGCCAAAGAGGTCAGCTGAAAATGTGCACCTTCGGTTGGCCACCAGAGTTGGCCACTAGAACTCAAGCGCCGGCCATGGTGATGGTGTAGGCCGCCATAACACCCTATGGTCTCTCTCCGCTCGTAATAATCGACCGTGGCATCACGAATGGCCGAATATTATCGGGAAAATATTCTGGAGGGTGTATTAAAGCCTTGGACACGCAAACATTTTGGCCGTAGACCTTGGACATTCCAACAGGTCTCTGCTCCATCGCACTCAGCCACCTAAGAACGGTTACAAAATGAAGTTCCTCGCTTCATTTTCAGCACAAAATGGCCACCTAAATCTCCGGATACCAATCCGTTGGACTATTGTGTCTGAAGTATTTTGGAAAGCAAGGTTGGCACTAAAAAATAACAGTCTCGATCACCACATGCAAGCGCTTCGCCGGGAATGGGCCAAAATACCGCAGAGAAACATTTCATTGGCCGTTTGGAGGCCATAATTCGTGCCAAAGTTGACCAATTCGAACAAATCTAAACTTATTCTAAAATTTGATGCTATTTCCGAAATTTTTTGTGTTTATCAATAAAATTTAAAACAAAATGTAAACATTATGGCGCCCGTCCGTCTGTGGAAGTCACTCTAGCTTCCAAACGAAATGAAGCAAATTGGTGAAATTTTGCAGAAATATATGTTATATCCGCAGGTATTGAAAATGGGCCATGCAGATTCACGTTTTCGTATAGCCGCCATATAATTGTACCTCCCTATTTTTGGTATTTTTGTGATTTAAGCTACATCATTCACAGGAAATGTTTCAAATTTGATATTTGAAGTTCGTAATGGATTCGAAATTCTACGACAGAAAATTGTCCGTGCAGGTCCACGTCTTTGTCTAAACCCCATATAACGACACCTCCCGATACTCGGTATCTTGACGATTTTACCGACAATATTCACCGGAACTGTTTCATATTTGGTATTTGAAGTTCGCAGTGGATATTACAGCCTCTGACAGAAAATTGTCTGTGCATGTCCATGTCTTCGAATATCCCTCATATGCTGATACCTCCCTATATTTGATATTTTGATGATTTTATCGATATTAATAACCGAAATTGTTTCAAATTTGATATTTGAAGTTCGTAATGGATACCGCATCCTGTGACAGAAAATTGTCTGTGCCGGTCTACGCCTCCGTATAGCCCCCATATTTGATATTTTGATGATTTTATCGATATTAATAACCGGAATTGATTCAAATTTGGTATTTGAAGCTCGTAATGGATACTACAGCCTAAGACAGAAAATTGTCTGTGCATGTCTACGTCTTCGTATAGCCCCCATATAAAGGAACTTCCAGATATTCAGTATTTTTATGATTTAGCTTCATAACTCACCGATTTTTTTTCAAGTTTCGCAATTGAATATTATAATGGCTTATGACAAAATTTGCCTGTGCAGGTCCATGTCGTCGTATAGACCCTAACATAAAGGCTAGATTCGGAATTTTTTAAGATTTTAACAGAATTTTTAACGAATATTATTATTAATATTATTTGTTTAATTGCCAAATTCGTTCCAAATGATTGAGGGTATTCAAAGTTCGACCCTGCCGAACTTACAGCTTTTTACTTGTTAGATCTAAAATTATTATTTCGATGAGTTACAAAATGAATGACGAACTTAATATACCTTCCATGCTATTTATGATGGAGGGTATAATTGTAATTGTAAATTTGACACTTGCAGGTCTCGATAGATATAACAATAAAGCACAATATCAATTTCTTTCAATAAAATTCAATACAAGAAAATCTAAATCCATTCCAACTATTATTGGCATTTATCGAAATGACCATACGATGATTTATAAACTAATCTTTTATTACATTTCCTTCACTACAACATTACATACATATTCATAGCACTGTGCTCTTATTCCACACCATGATGGTGTTTCCATTCAAGTTGTTGCTGCTTCTGTTGCTGCTGTTGTATTCCCAAACGGTCTTGGGGCCAAATTCTTTGTACTCCAACAAAAGTTACAATAACAAACCGGCAAGCAAGTGTAGAAGAAAAAGTTTTAACATATTTTCTTTTGTTTCAGCTTTCTTCCGTGTGCCATGCCACGGTGTGGCGTATTCTACAAGAAATAAAAAATGAAAAAAAGAAGAACTTCTCTTGAAATCCTGATCCTTAAACAATTGCCTGTAACAACACTTAAATACATAACGGGTATAGACTGCCATACACGGTCGTATTCTCAAATGCAGGCACACCAGCGGACATACTCGAAATACCCATAAGAAAACAACAAGCAACAAGAGCAGCTTCATACGAAGGTAGGTAGAGTAAATGTGTGAATAAAAATATTGGCTGTGTGTGTGTGTGGGAGAGCGTGAGTGGTCGTTGTTCATGTTCTGCATGTGGGTGTGTGTTGGTGTATTCCACTTATTGCCAGCTAACTAAGTATTTTGAGTGTGTCTACGACAACATCAAAGATGTCAAACATTAGAACTCCTCTTTAAATGTTCGCCTTTGGATGCTGTCATAAGCTGTAAGCTTCATACGGTACTAACCGTAAAACAGCACACAGACAAACACATACTTCGTGGCATATTCACTTCTCTTCCCCTCCTTGTGCATGGAATTTCCCCATACATGTATGTACTTGGGTGTGTGCGTATTTGCCGCAACCTTAGTCCATTACACTCCGTTTGTTTTGCCGTTTTCCTTCTTTATTGCGGAAAATGGCATGTAATGGAGTTCATATAATGTGCAAATGATTTACAGCGGCGAAGAATTTTAGTGAGTCTTTTGACCATGTGTTTATCATACAAAAGCCATAACACCGTGAATACGCATTTCTGTTGGTGGCTGGTGAGCTGCTAATCACTCCCCACCAAAAGGGCCATTACCTGTCTATTCTCCCTTTTGGTCAGTGATTCGACCGAACAGCTTATCATCTGTTTGTCGGCATTTTCACGTAACATGCAAGCCAATTGTTGCCCCCTTCATACGTAAGGACTTGTTGTGTCTAAGCGTCTATTGATTATAAATCAGCCAGACAAGAGGTAGATGAGAAATGTTTGCGTCCAGTCCTAGAAAAGAGATTAATTTTTATTGGCTAGACATCGTATTTTATTCGTGTTGTTTATAAATAAATATATATTTACATTTTAAATGGCTCGAAATAAAAGAAAGTGCCGTATCATGCTTTTCAGCTAAAATATATTTTACAAGAGCCAAGCTGTGGTGGGGAAAGGTTCACCACAGGCAAGGTTAAAAAAGTTGTTTTATATTCTCAACCATATTGCTACAGAGGGTATATATGATACGGCCAAAACATGCCCCATGGATGTAACGGTTTTAGACCCTAGGTCCCTTTGGACCTAATCCGTTTCAAGACATTTGGGGTCAACCTAGAGGTGTCCGTCCGTCTATATGGCTGGGCGCACGATAACTCCCGAAGGGAACATTCGATTTGGTTCAAAATTGGTACATCGTAATATTACTGACAAATTTAAATCTTGTCGGCCTTTGGATCACATATAGAATCTTTTATGCAAAATACAGATCAAGCCAAGTAAGTTCACATGTTGGTATAGCCCGCATATAAGGGTATACTCCGATCTCAAATATTTTTTACATTTTAGCCATATTTTGAAAACTAATTTGAAAATTTTAATTTTTAATAAGAACAAATCATCATTGCTATTTGTCTTCTATAAAAAGCTAGGAGTAGCCGCTACGTTACTAGGTTATGTTGAATCAATTTTTGGTTTCAGATATTGAAGGGGGAACAACAACTCTAGTTTGGTAAAAACTCTTGTATTTTTTTAATTTTTTTTTCTAGAGGGAAAGTATAGATCCATATCTACTATAATTTTACCGATATTGACAATATTGGTATCATTTGAAAGCTAATGACCTATCCAACAAGTAAAACGTGATTTGAAACTTATCGGGAGCTACATCATAGGTCTATAGGGACGAAATAAGTTTTTGGACATTAGGAGTAGATTTGGTTTGCCCATCCATCTGCCTATTTATACGTACAATCAGGTGTCTGATAGATGTATCCTAGATACCCACGATGATAAAAACTAGTACCTTTTAGTACTTTTCGAACAATTATAGTACGCATTTGCAAAACCACCGCCATATCTTAAAACCACATACCAACAAAGACTTCAATATGAAAATTCCAGCCTGCCACAACAACTTAATACCAAATTTATTACCATTTAGTACTTCTCGTAGAAATGAAGAACGCATTTCCAAACTGCCCCCAAATCTCAAACACAGTTAATCTAAATATCAAATTTCAGAATTGTATCTCTATCCCTTCATTTAATATCAAATATGGTACCATTCAGTACCATTCAGTACTTTTCGTACGTTTATAGTACATATTTCCGAAATCATCTACGCAATTTCAAAAACACCTTCATATTTCATCCTCAACTATAGATGTCACTATTGGTAGCTGAGGTTGAGGGTTAGAGGAATTAGAGGATTTCAGATCTCTTTCTTCTACCAATACCAAATTAAGTGCCATTTAGTACTTTTCATACAGTTATGGTACACATTTCCAAAACCACCATCAAATCTCATACCTCAGATACCAAAAATGTTCTTAATATCAAATTTCAGAATTTTCCCTCTATCCCTTCAACCCAGAGCAAATTTAGTATCATTTAGTAATTTTCGTAAAAATATAGTACATATTTCCGAAATTACTTCGAAATGTCCAGGCTACACATGAACAGCGATCCTTATATAAAATTCCAGATTTCAAGGTCCATCTGTTCACTCAATTCCAAATTGTACTAAATATAGTATTATTTTGATACCAACAGGGACTTCAATATCAAATTTGAGAGTTCCAGCCCTATCCCTTCATCCCACACCAAATTTAGTACCATTTAGTACTTTTCGTATAAATATAGGACGTATTACAAAACCACCGCCACATCTCAAGCACAAATAACACTCGTAATCTTAAAATCAAATTTCAGAATTTATCTCCATCCCTTCACCCAATACTAAATTTAGTAATATTTGGTACTTTTTGTGCAATTATAATACACATTTCCGAAACCAACTCAATATTTCATCCTCGGCTAAGAACAGTGATTTTAATATCAAATTTCAGATCTGTTCCTTCACCTAACAGCAAATTCCTATTTATTACTTTTCGTACAATTATAGTACACATTTTCGAAATCACCTCCATATATCCAAGCTATACATGAACAGCGACCCTTACACCAAATTTCAGATTTCAAAAACTACCTACTCACCCAATAGCAAATTGTACCAAATATGGTACAGAGACACTAAATTTAGTACCATTTAGTATAAATATAGGACGTATTACAAAACCACCGCCACATCTCAAGCACAGATACAACTAGTAACCTAATATATAAAATTTCAGATTTTTATCTCCATCCCAATACCAAATTTAGTTCTATTTGGTACTTTTTGTACTTTTTGTACATTTTCTAACAAACCAAAAAAAAAACTCATGTTAACCTCAGCTACCAGCAGTGAGCTTAATATCAAATTTCAGGGTTTTAGATCTATTGCTTCAATCAAAACCAAATTTAGTACTTTCGTACAATTATAGTTTACATTTTCGAAAACTTTTCTATGTGTTCATGAACAGCGATCCTAATACTAAATTTCAGATTTCTAGAACTTTCTATTCGCTCAATATCAAATTGCACCAAGCATTAAGTAGTTTTCGTACAATTATAATACACAGTTCCAAATCCACCTTCACATGTCAAAGTTACGCGTGAACAGCGACCCTAATACAGAATTTTAGACTATACGCACTATCTGCTTTCCCAATACCAGGTTTAGTACCATTTAGCAATTTCGTGCACTTATAGTATACATATCCAAAACCAGCTCTTTATCAAAACCTACCACGAAAAAGCACCCCAATACAATATTTTAAAATTCCAGGTTCATACGTGCACTCTAAACCAATTCGTTCCAAAATTAGTACCATTTAGAACTTTTCGTGCACTTGTAGTACACATTTTCAAAACGACCTTCATGTATCAAACTTGCTTTCAAACCTAAATTCTCACACCAAATTATAGCTCTACCCATTCACAAAATACCCAATTGTACTATTTTAGAATTTAAGAACTATATGTTCACCCTATACCAAATTGTACCCAATATAGTACTATTTAGATATCAACACCAAATTAAGTTTAGCAGTAAGTTCGGCAAAGATGAACTTTGAATACCCTCCACCATTTGGAACGATTTAGAAAATTTTCAAAAAAAAAAAAAAAAAAAAGTTTATTAAAAATTCTCTTAAAATCTTAAAAATACCGAATATTGTAAGGTGCCGATGTATTGGGGAATATACGATATTGTGGACCTTTACAGACAAATCTAGGTCTGGAGGTAAAGTACTCACAATTAACTTCTTGTGTGGAATTTCAGACAATTCCATTGAGATATATGATTAAAATCATCAAAAACCCGAATATCGGGGGTACCGTTATATGAGGGCTAAACGATATCGTTGACCTATATAGACAATTCTCTTCCAAGACTCACAATGAACTCCTCGCATGGAATTTCAGACAATTCTATTGAAAAATGTGGCTGAAATCATCAAAATACCGAAAATCGGGGGGTACTGTTATATGGGGGATATACGATATCGTGGACCTATATAGACAACTCTCTACCGAGTTATAAAGTACCCACTAGGGATTCCTTGTGTGAAATTTCAGACAATTCCATTAAATAATATGGCTAACATCTTCAAAATACTGAATATCGGGGGGTACCGTTTTATGGGGGCTATACGATATCGTGGACCGATATAGCCTATCTTCGAACTTGAAAACCTGTGAAAAATTTTAGCTTCCTATCATAATTCGACTGTAGCGTAATTACAACAGACGGACAGGTCTAAATCGTCTTAGAATTTTACGCTGATCAAGAATATATATACTTTGTCGGATCTAAAATGATTATTTCGATGAGTTACAAACGGAATGACGAACTTAATATACCCTCCATACTATGTATGTTGGAGGGTATAAAAAGCACAATATTTCAAAATTCATTTACCATTTAGTGCAGTTCGCGCACTTAGTACATATTTCAGATAGTTCAAATTTCAAATCTGTTCACGTAATACCAAATGGTACCTGTTAAAACATACATAAATATTTTTTTATTGTTCTATAAACATACTTTAGATTTAATTACCAAAAGCAAACAATAAATACAAAATCAAACACACCTACATATTTATAAGTTTTAAAACTGCTTATACAGCATTATTATATCACATATT